AGCATGATTACCAACTTATGTTTATATCATGACTTGAGATGATATTTTACCACATTATGTGAATGTCTTACGTTTTGGCTATAATTATATAATGTTATCTTGCAAGTTATTTAATGTTGTGAACTCGATTTTCAATAAAAATGTAAAATTAAAAAAATATAATTATTTTTGAAATTCTTCACTCACTGAGCTATCAACCCATATATTTTCCCGTAATTTTTCTTACAGGTAGCAATTGATTCTTTTTGGCTGGAAGAGCCTAATGATTTTGGAATGAGAGTCACACGACATGTTGAATGTTATAACTCATATTGATGAAGCACGAAGTAAATAATTTGGACCCATCGTATTATGTTTTACATAAACATTTGATTTTGATGCATTTTTTGAAGTAACTTATAATCAGCTTTGGTGATATATTTGATATCTAGTCATCATCTATCATCGGCACACATCACGTTTTGGGTCCACTAGGATGATTCGGGATAGGTCATGTCAAATTTTTACAATTCTTGATTAATCTTGCATGTTTATTTTATTATTTGATTGCTTGATTACCAATTGAATATATAGTTACTTGTTGTAGTGTTGGAAGGCTCACAATAAATTTAAAACACTGCTTGATTAACACAAGTGTAATAAATTTTAGAAATAATATTTATCCCGTGTGCAATCTTCTAGATGATTCTGAAATTGAATGCATTCTATTTATTCGAATTCGGACTAGGAATAGATTTGGTCGTGACTAGTATAGATTTAGTTTGTCTTGAAAAAGAAAATTAATTATAATAGAATTATCAATGGTCAAGAATGCAAGAACTAAACTAGTTACATAGTTGAGGATTATAATAAATAATAGTAGGCGGATTCATAATCCAATACTCTCATCCCACATATAATCGAAACTCGCATTTTACAAGTTTTAGTAAATTAATTTGGATTGATTCAAAACCACAAATATTCTTTGTTTGTTTACTTTGAATCTAATTAAGGAATAGTACACTCTATTAAATTTTGTTCCTTGAGGGACGAATAATTCATCACATATTGTTTGTTAACAATCTGTATGCTTACTGGTTTTACATGAACAAGTTTTTGGTGCTGTTGCCAGGGAACAAAGTTTTAAATTTGAGTTATTTGATTTTATTTTTTGATAATTTTGGCTACCCACCTGATCTCTCTTGGTATTGATATGGTTTCACATACTATTCAACGATATATGCAGGATTATGATGATGCCAAGGGAGTAGAATTTTTTGCAATAAATAGTCTCAGGATGGATTATGAGGATATGCTTGTAGAGGACATAATTTGTGAGCTTTATAATGGAAAGCATTATACTAGGCAATGCTTGTATACATGCATTCACTGGCGGAGGTAGTGGGGGGCTATGCTGGGCTATAGCCCAGCAATGTCCCCTAACCCATATAAATTTCTAGGACAATTTTAGAATTTTGGCCCGGGTATTAACACTAGCCCAACTCTAATTTAAATCCCAACCTAAGTCCAATACTCAATTATTCAAGTTATATTAAAGACACTACAATTATTAATTACTCTTTTCAAGATATTCATGAAATGTGAATATTTTATTGTAAAATTAGATATTCAATTTAATGGATGTTTGACTTAGATCTAAAAATAAATTACTTGTTTTAATAGTTAGAGACACAACATATTTTTCTAAATTACGTATGTTTTCATTTATTACTAATTCATAGTTATAAAAAAAATATTTATTTTGACCATAAAGTAGATATTATAATCAAAATAAATAACTTACTATAACTTTAATATTGATAATAAAAAGAATATTTATTAAAACTTTCAGTTGTTTGGAAAGATTGGTTATCAAAGTTATTAGAAGAGTACTCATTAAATAATTTTTTCATTGGTGGATATGTATTTTTGCTTAGTTCTATCATGATTCGGTTAGATTAAAATTTTTTAAGGTAAATATGGTAAAAAAAAATACAATAATTAGTGGAATATCTTAATGTGAGACGTTTAAACTTTTTTTTTATTTCATTCAGTATCGTATACTTTTATCGTGAATGTCACGAAAATAGCCCCTGAAACTTGATTTCTTGTGGCATAAGTTCATTCAACAATTTTTAAATTTCAGCCCATTCTAACATCATTTTTTGACTCCGCCCATGCATGCATTAATCCCTTTATGTCCAAGCTTTTGATATTTAAACAATATTTAAGATGTCAAAAGCTAGCAATTGACAAATCTAATGAATGCTACATGCCTAAGGGTGACTATGTGTCTATGCATCCAGACGGAGACATCATTCTTAAGGGAGTTGATCCTCCCCTGTTGAGCGAGGGAGTACTTGCAAAATATTATAATGAACTTGCTATGTTGAATGAAAGCAAAGTAGGTACAGAAAATTTCATATTTTGGGATGTATTTAGAAGGTGGGGTATATAATCCATTTGAAAATTTTGAAATGAAAGAATTACCATTGCCGATGAATTTAGATTGTGAACTAATCATTCAACTCGATGGGATATCAATTATTGAAAAAAGGTATAAAGAAGATCACAAACTAATTACAAAGAAACCAATTGAAGAAGTGGCAATTAATGATAATGAAATTAACACACATTCTTTCGACGTCATCGATTGTCCAACAATTAAATTTGTGATTAAACTTAAGGATGAAGAAGTCTACATAGTTGATTTTGAGTTGAATGGAATAGGCAAGTCATATCGCATTAAAGGAGGCAATGTCAAGATTTGGAGAATCAACGAAAGTCGATCAAAGTCAAAAGAAGCAAACTAAGCAAGTTATCAAAAGCTTTGTTTAGAATTTCATAACGCGTAACATCAAAGTCAAGCTAATGACTATAAATAAGCACTTATTGAGAGGCAACCCAATTTTCTTCTCTTTCATTTATTTTGCTTTTTAGATATAAGAATAGTAATTATTATTATTTTTAGTAGAATAAGGTATCTTCATTCCCATATTTCTCTTCAGAATGCGTTTGAGTTTATTATAAAGTATTCCATGTTATGATTGATTTTCTATTTATTTTGAAGAAACGTGACATTTGAACATACTGGACAAAGGAAAAGACATAGCAAATAAACCATAACTTTCATGCCAATCCTTCTACGACCTGCATATTTATACCAGGAGAGTACTTAATTCCCTTCTTTGCCCTTAATTTCATATATTGCATTTTTTTTTTTGGGTAAACATTGAGGGCAATATCTGTTATAAAATTAGTGGTGAAAAAACATTGAATTTTTATTGTTTTGTGTGCTCATTTGAATGCCAGAAAAAAATAAAAAATATATTATTCTTGACTTTATTTATTTTTGTTTTTTGCTTTTGTGTACTTGTGTGGATTAGATAATTTTGTCTACCATGATGCATCTATTTGGAACCATGTGTTAGGCTATAAATTGTGAAAAATTTACATGTTAATGTTGATTTATGCTTATTTATGTAAAACTTGATATTTTTTAGCACAAAATTTATGTTTTACATCATGAAAAAAATAATTTGATTCAAAATTTGAAAAAGTTGGAAAACTAAGATAGTGGACCTTAGATGCAAAATTCAAACAACCACTAAATTATATATCCTTGAACCAAATTTTGAATGGTTTGAGAGGGATTGAACTATTGTAGTGAGACATTGAGACAAATGTGAATTCTATATGTGCTAAATTTTGTGTGGATTGTCTAAAGCCAATAAGATAAAAATTAGGTGAATCTTAAGTTATGGGTCGATTTTTTGAGAATGAGTGTTCAATAAGGGGTGTTGCACTAATCATTGCATAAAAAATAAAAAATAAAAGAAAGAAAAGAAAAGAAAAAATATGTCTCTTTGTAGTCTTTATGACTCGAGCGATTAAACTTACAAGAGTATTTAAAACCTAGCGCCCTAAAGTCATCGGCTCAAAGCTCCCTACAGGGGTCATTTAGAAAATTTAATGGAGAGAAATCCGCACATAAAATGTGAAAAAAGGAAAAAAAATCTATAAAAAAAGATTGTTACTTGTCTTGATTAAGCTCCAAACACTTATTTTAGAGAATTTGACCTTTTACAAGGGGTTAGAATTTATGATGCTTGATGTGGATTTTCACACACACACACACACACACACACGTTGATTTTGCATTGGAAAAGTAGAAATTAATTTTAGAATTGTGATTTTCTAGCAATTCATAGTCTTTATACATATATTCCAATCTTGAGACCAAAAGCAAATTATCTAGCCAATATTTTTTTAAATTTTTTGAGTTAGGTTATAAATTTTGTTTGAGGACAGATAAATGTTCTAGTTTGGGATGTTTAATGAGTGTATTTTGTACACTTTTCCAAGTTAGTAAATTGGAATATTGGTTAGTGATTTGAATGAGTTAGCTTAATTATGTGTTTGTTAGGTTGAACTAAATGCAAATTGGTGGAATTGGAAGAAATGAACAAAAAATGAGCAAAAATGAAGAAAATTCAAAGTATGGAGACCAAAGTGTAAATGTCTAATGGCTGTTTGGACTACAAAAGATACTTTGAAGATTGATAGGATTCAATTGAATGTAGATTGAATCATAAAGGAATAGAATATTATCAAAATATTACCATAAATCAACTTCTAATCACATAAGATATCTTCCAGATTTTTGGTCAACTTGAGACCCATTTTTCGGATAGCAAACATTCGAATTGAAAAAAATTGTATTCCTACAAGAATTTTAGCTCTTTGAATTAGCTTTCCAACACACTTTAAATTACCTCAATCAGATATCGAAAGAGAAAGTTATGACCAAAATACTGAATGTTGTGTAGAGAAAAATCATGCATACACAAAGGCAACTTTCATTATTTGATTAAAACTCTTTCGAAAGGCAATTTGAACATGAAATTTAACTTAATTTCATCATATAAATATAAGACGTGGGCAGCCATGGGAAGACCCCTTTTTTGCCTTTTCATATACAATAGTTTCATCAAATTTATCAAGAATAATAGGTCAATTCATCACTTTTGAGAGAAGCGATCAAGCCCTAGCAAGAATTAAATGCCAATTACATTAAAAATTTTAAGAATTCAACTTGGGATTTGAAGACATTTTATACATAAAAATTAGTTGCTACTACATGAATTTAAACATCCATTAAAATTTCTAAATACATGAATAGAAATAAATTTTTAGATCAAGACTTATTAAGTCAAGATTCATTGGATATAAATTAATATGAATGTTAATTAATTGAAAATTAATAATACGAAATTCATACATCACAAAAATTTGTAGTATTTATTAAATATTGAAAAATGAAATGTAAGGTATTATTAAAATAATTGAATTGTAGTAGGATTAAAATCATCAAAAAAATGATTCTCACTTGAACGAACTAAAGAAAATAAAATTTAAAATAAAAATTTAAGAGAAGAAATTTGTACTCTTGAAACTTAACTTCTATATTTTAAATTTTTTGCATTGGTAAATAACTTTAAATGGGCAATATTTTTATACTACATTTGGTATATAAAAATTAATTGCTAATACATGAATTTAAATACTCGTTAAAATTTCTAAATAAGTGAATATAAATAAATCATCTATAATAACTATAAATTCATATAGATCAAGATTCATCAAGTCAAGATTCATTGGATCTGAATTAATGTGAATGTTGATTAATTTAAAATTAATAACACAAAATTCATACATAACAACGATATTGTAATATTTATTACATAATTAGAAATAAAAAGTAATGTATTATTGAAATAATTGAATTGTAATAAAGTTAAAATCATCCAAAAAATGATTCTAACTTGATATGATATTTAATATATTATACATTTAAGTAGTAAAATTAAATTTCAATAAGCGTGAAATCAATTGAAAGTATAGATGATATGACAAAATATCTCGGCAAGCATTGCCCTACCCCATTTAGGGAAGGAATTCCATGGTTAATTGGCAATCGGGGCGGGGATGGAAAACATGCTTCCACCTCAACTCTTATTTCTTATTTTGTTTTCTATATTTTTATATCTAAAATAGACTTAAATATTTATTAAATAAATTATTGGGGAAATTGAGCGAAGAATTAAGATATTTTAATCTTCGCCTTACTATTGTCATCTTTATTTGAAACAAAATGGGTTCAAGGTTTTTATGATCTCACTTAAGTTCTGTTGGGTCAGATTTTTAGTAAATTTTGTGATAATAGTTAATGAAAGATGTGATTGAAAAATTGTAGATTATATAAATTAAAGATTTGTTTAAAATTACTTATTGACTTTGAATTAAATTAAAATTAAAATTAAAATTTTAATTCCTATCAAACAGGGACTTAATATGACTAAGGCTTGCATTGGAATTAATGTCTAGTTAATCATGTTGATAGTGACATGAAAAATTAGGAAATTTAAGCGATCGATTTAGCCCTTGTCTGGGCCCGATTGTGAAATGGGAGAATCAATTCTCCTATCTTATCAGCTGGTCCCACCTGAAGGCATTTTGGTTCCCCAAATGTAGAGGTTCATGCATAAATTACAAGTTTGCCCACATTACTCCAACTGTGCACTGACATATTGAATACAACTTTTGACCGACAATGATAAAGAAATTGGTGAGATAATGCATACATGAGGGTCCCATTAAAACCTGAATATTTTTTGTCCACCAAATATTTGTTACACGGAATTTCAATGCAAGAAAACCAACTGGGGACATGTGACATTATTCATGATAATATTTTTTCCCGATTTTGACATGAAACGACGTCCATTTCTCTTGTTGAAAAACATCATGCTTAATGAGCCCGTCTAATTTCGACCAAAAAAAAAAAATACTCGCGTTTATTGTTGTGCCAGGTAATCTCTGAACATATCCCACTGATCTCGTCGTGATTCCGATGCATTCATTTCCGCTGAAGTTTCGTCACGTGCGCTTGGGAGCTCCACTTCTGCTGCGTCAGGGTCTGTCTCCGTTCTTAGGAATGCTTCGTCCACCACACCCCCCCGTCGAAGAAAGTTATGAATGGCCATGGTTGCAATTACAACATGTGTGTGCATGTCGAACGCATAACTTGGCATACGATCGAGTATTTTCCACCAATTTTTTCAAACGCCAAATGTACGTTCGATGACGTTCCTACATGACGAGTGCCTGAAATTAAATTTTTCGTGGGCATTTTGAAAGTTACGTTTGAGACCAATGTCTCCGTCACAGAATTTTTGAAAATGGTACAATATATCTGAACCTTTATAGGGCGCCATATACCCACGTCGATGAGCAAATCCCGAGTCAACCAGGTAATATTTTCCAGGTGCAGGTTGCGAAAACTCAATCTCGGGATTATGTATTGCCTGAGCCAAGATTCGAGCATCGTGGGAGTTCCCCGTTGTACCTGCAAGCACGAATGTGAAGTACAAATTGAAATCACATGGTGCTAGCACATTCTGTGTCGAAATTCCTTTTCGTCTGATAAGACTCATGCGCTACTCCCGTGGAAGGACGGCTCTAACGTGGGTTCCGTCAATCGCACCAATGCAATCCCGAAAAATGGGATGCTTGTTCAGATTCGGAACGTGATGCTCGGCATAATTATTGTAGTTTGGATCCGGTCTAATTACTCGTCGAGAGAATTCGAGGACCACTCGAAGCACAAGCTTGAAGTAGTGTCCAAAGGTTTCCAATGAATAGTTGAAAAGGGTTTGCACCTGTTTGTATCCCTTCCCATGCGCTAATATGCAAAGAAGCATACCAACCTGTTCATAAATATTTATGTGCTGATGACTGCGAAGCCCGTACTCGTCACACAACATATGTGCGAACACTCGTAGCATGACGGGATACATGTGAAACTCGGCGTAGCATTGTTGAGGACTACAGTTCATTGCGTCGAACATGAACATATGACCATTTCGCACGAACGGATATCGCAAAACACAAGTGCTTTGTTCGCGATAGTAGTTTCTGATAGTAACTCATTAATTTGACAGTACCGAAACCACTCCATAATGTCCACTTGCAATTCTTCCATGAATGCCTTGTCGCCCTATTCATCCTCCGCATTGGAGGTCGGGTGCAACTCGCAGGTGAAATCCGAATGTGCCATACGACCACAATCATAATATGATATCCAACACTATGGCTTTTGCATGTTGTAAACTTCTACTATATTTATGTGCCTTTTATAGAACGATTTGTCTTTCAAGCTATGGCCAGGGCAACCAATAATTTATGTGAAGATGGGACTGATGTGACCAGTCCACCAACTAATGGAGCACTTGTTTGACCCAACTGTGAACAACATTCAAAAGTTTGTTTGTCTGCACATCTGCTTGTAATCTACAAGAATCAAACTTTTTGCATGCATATGAAAATAAAACGTTTCAACTGCAAAAAGCAAACTTAGGCAACTGTCGCCCATATATACTAGACACAAACAAAATGTCGTCACATCAAATATAGTACATGTAAACATAAACAATAGTAAGAAAAGTTTAAAAAGTCCCATGGGCGTGTACGCAATCTACACAAACATATATCACCGCGACTGTGTTTTCCTATATTCCTGATAGCTCCACTCCACCCAAGCAAACTTGTCGTTTGATTGTCTTGTATGTCCAGTACCTCTCTATTGGCCCTCTGTGAAAGGAACTTGCACGTGTAAAAGTACAGATCCGTTTGCTTCTGGAGTCGACCTGTAGCCAGCAACTCGCTCATACATGTCTTCAGGTCGGACACAGCCGCTTCGATGAAGTGGTCAATTTTTGTAGCAATCTTCTTGCTGGCGGAGGTAGCACGGTCCAAAGAGTACGACACGTCCCAAGATGAAAACTTCTTCCTCTTCTCCTTCGATCGCTTCTCGGTGGCCTTCCGTTTATCCCCACTATGCGGGCCGGATTCATCCATGGCCGCCGAGTGCGGTACGGCTACACCGCCCTCGTCGCTTAAGCTGCTACTCTCTACATCGACTGGGATCTTGTCACGGTGGTCTTCGTGTGCACTGTCTTCGAACATGGCAAAGCCAGTGCGGCATGCTTGGCTAGGTGTGACTGCGTACTTATCGCAGTCGAAAACATCCCCGAATAAAACCTTGTATCGGTACAACTCTCGGCAATCATTGTCCTTATACTCTTTATACTCTTTCTTCTCCTGAAGCAATACAAAGTAGACGAGGTTCACATCTTTTGCAAACGAAGTGTCAAAGAAGCAATTACAATCGACTGAAAAAAAAATTGGGATTGCATCTATTTCAGAAAAATAACAACAATGTCAGCCATTCCTGCACATGAACGTGTAAATGAAATATAAACACAATTACAATAACACTTGATAATAATGTGAAGTGCAATTTGCAGTTACAACTATAAAAACAAAATAGTTTAGTAGCTGAAGTACCCAATCCATTAGAAGTGAAGACAATTAGGCATATATGTGACACTTACAGAAATACCATACAATACAATTTATTCTTACTCTCTCTTCCAAATTAGGCGTGTATGTTTCGTTTATTTTGCAGCAAAAAAAAAATAATAAAGCCAGTCATGCTTCAAAAATGAGAGCCAGTTCTGGATAACCTAAATTTTTCCTAAAGCTAAGTGCCCAAAATAATTAACTCATTATACAACGTGAAAAATCAATTTGTCCTAGAATTTCAGCAGAACAGAAACTGGTCTACCTTCTTATAGCAAGAAGATGTAGAAAGTGGAGAATTGTTAATTAAGAAGAAGAATCCCTGTTTCATTACCCTTTTTTAAACAAGTTTGTACAAGTTTAGAGATAAACGACGTAACTAGCATCTTTTATTAACTGCCAACCATCACTCTTGTTTGTAACTCATTAATTTCATCCCATGTAACTAACAGTATCTTCGCATACTTGGGCAACCCAAAGTTACTACTGAATACAAACTTTAATTCTAAGAAACTCATAGTCATTTGGATCGAACTGAAAGAAAAAAAATGCATTTCCCATCAACTTATTTTCAATATGCAGGCACGTGCATTTTTTTTTGGTTCCTTTCGTAAAAATTTGTATTGAACTTGGGCAATTATTCATGAAAAATAATCCTTCAACAACACCAGAAATCAATGAGGTCTCTCGAATTTGGATATCAATTACTCAATTCGTGATACTAGCTATTACCGATGAGTATATGATGGTATTCATCTTTCAATCCCACCACTCCACCGAGGGGCTAATCAAGCCAGTGGACGTGTCATACGCAATGCCACTGCTGTTGATCAATTCTTCAAATCTCTTGTGTTTCAAGCGGAGTGCATCCCATCGATTTTTCAGTTGCTGCTTGCTCCAGTTGTGCCCGGAGTCGGTGTTAAATAAGTGAACCAATTTCTACCATCAGTATTTGGTGAAGCACTTCCCATTTTGGTGTCCATTGGCAATTACAGTCTCACAGGTGGTGACAAAAATTTGCATCTCATAGTCAGTCCATTATGCATGCTTACAAGGCCTCGATTCACTGTCAACATGATGGGCGTTTGATGTGGAGGAATTCGGGTGTGGGTGGTATTTTGGCTGCTACAAATTGGGAGGAAAAAATGTTAGTCTCCATCATTAGAAGCAACCGTTCATGGCAATTTACAGTCAACACAAAAATGAACAAAATGTTCGAGACACTCTACTGTATCGGGGAAATGACAGGGTCCATGGTGGTTCTCTCTCGGTGAGCAGATTATTTTCCAACAACTTACACGACTGTATGTGTGCTGGGGAAACTGGGAGCACCTTTTGCAGTTCAACCTCAAGTGCAAATGTAATTTTTTTTATGTTAGGCCCTTGTAAATCAAATAGTCCAAAGAAATGTATAGATTGGTGACGAGTGAGGAACATGCAAGGGGAACGAGTAGAGATCGAAGACACAGATGCTTACCTTTGATGTCGCACGGGAATGGGGATCTACGGGGACGTCGATTGTGACTGTGGAGTCGCTTGTATCGGTGGCCGAAGAAGGCGAACGTCGTCAAGGCATATTGGGGGTTGAAGCTATTGGCAAGGGCGCCGTCAACCCACTGATATAGTCGTCAGAGTAGGGTGGGGACGACCAGGTTGTTACAGAAACTATTGCCGACTGTCGGAAGATTATTTTCTCACCGTCGGACAACAAAAGTAGCAGATATTGCTGACGCCGGAGAGCAAGTAGTGTTGGTAGCTTCATCCAGTGGAGGAGTGGTGTCGGCAGCGTCGTCCAGTGGAGGAGTGGTGTCGGCAGCTTCGTGTAGTGGATGAGTGCAAACTGTGAGCGTCTCTTGCTTTTTAATTTCGCAGAAGACCGAGAAATGAGGGCTGGTTTGGCGTGTTAATTGTGGGGGTAGAAATGGAAAAAACCAACAGACATGGGTGTCAATCTATTTGATTCCCATATCAGTAGAAGGTGAAAATGTGGCCGTTGGACGTATCAACGGTCAGCAAATCACTTAATTTTGGCAATAAAAGTGCGCCCATACAAAGCCTTAGAACAGAATAAACATTGAGTGCCGACTTAAAATTTCTCTGCAAATATAAAGACTAAACGTGGGTTTTACCCCTTCTGCCATTTATATATTATTTGTAAGGACGAGGATTTGGAAACTGTCGTATGTGGTAAAAATTGCAAAAAAGGATTAGTTGACTTTTTGTGTATATATGAACGGCTGTGATTAAATTTGTTGTTTGAGATTTTTACCTACTTTTAAGTTATCAATTTTCTATGCATTTCGTAACGCGATCAGATTGGGTATATTGACTTTCATTGCAAATGTGAATTTTATGTCTGGACACGCTTAAAAAATTGAATAAAATTTATTTTTACATAGAAAAAGTTTTAATTTTATTATTACTGTTCATAATAAGCAATTTTTCAATCAATTATTGACTATAGAAATCTGATCAACAAATATTACTAACCTAACTATGATTTTCATTTCTTAAACTCACCAGTTTAGATGCTTAAATTGAAATAAGAAGATGAGATATTTGAATTAGACGCTTTTCTTCTCAAATAGGGGGTATTTATTTATTTCTATTGCGTTTTTTATATCGCAAATGGACATTTGAGTTCGAATTATCGTTTCTAAGATAACTATACTTCAATACTTAATCTAATATTTCTAACTTCTATTTGATGAAAATAAACAAAAAATTTTGACTTCTCATGATTTTTTATTTGACTACTCGAAAATAGTGGAATGCACACAAAGATTGATATAGAATTCAAATATGGAATGGATATTAGGACATAGCAATTTCACCTATTGATCAACTTTAAATCTTAATTCAAGATTCATAAATCTAATGTAGTCTTCGATCTAATTCTTCTATTGTACTTAGTTTAACTGTCTCGAGTTCTCATTGAACCTATTTAACTTATTCAATCACATACGCATATGTATCTCTACACGTTAAACTGATTTACAGGATTTTAGTATGTGACCTATATCTAAAACTTACCTCTTTATTCGTAAAATATTCACAAAATCATCAAATTATTGATCAAATAATTCGAAGTATTAAATACATAATTAAAATAAAATATATATAATGAAAGAACTTAAATTTTGAATAAAAGAAATAAAATATCTCAAAAGATTACATTGTTTATCCTATTGAATTGAGATGCAAAGAAGTGGATAAATCTTGCATCAAGTTCCTCCTTTTATTCCACAACTTGATTCCAGACCCCTGATTCTTTGATTTTGCTCTTTAATTCTCCAAATTGTATTCAATGTCTCTCAATGTATGGAACTCTTCTCAAGTGCATCTTCTCTTGTATTTACACTTTCCCTCACGTTTTCCCCTAATTTGGAGTTTTTATAAACTTTAAATGGGCCAAAAATCAAGAGAGTAAAGATGGGACCTAAGAGCCATGTAGTGGAGCCTTTCTATTAAAATA